CATGTTACTGATAGCAGGCCGTAGCCAGGGGGGGTTCGGGTTTCGAACGAACCGCCCCGCCCGAGGCCCGTCCCCCGCCACCCCACCAGCAAAAAATAATATTTGAAAATTTTGGGCAAGAATTTCACCTCAGGTCGCTCCCATTTTAGTGTAATAATTGGGCAAAATTCATCCATGCGTGCGGGAGGGTGAACAGTGAACACCGCGCTCCCAGCACCCTCCCCCGCTGCGGTCGCTGGCTCCCCTCGCCTGGTCGCTTCGCGCACCGAGCAGGGGCGTGTTTTAGGGGGGTCCAGGGAGTCCGGACGCCCGCCTTACTCGCGCAGAAAAAACGCGATCTGAGGGGTTAATTTTAAAAATTTCTGGGGGAGGGCCCCCCAGACCGCCCCCTTCGCGTGCTCGCTTTGGTTACGGTTAGACCCCCCGCTGGTACAAATCCTGACACGCCCCCTGCCGGTGCAAATTGCAACATTGAAAAACGAAGCCCCCCCCCCAAATAGAAAGCTGGCTACGGGCTGCTGATAGTACCTTGATCATTAATAGCGCGTTATTAAGCAATGGCACCGTTATATATAAAAGGACCCGTCTAAAGTACAAAACACGTTTAGATGCCTCAAAATCATAACGCAACCGTAGCAAATGAAACTGTGAATCAAACAGCTAAGCTCTCATCATGAGCAGACATGTCGTAGGTCTACATGTAATAGGGGAAATAATGACGGATCGACCTACATGTGCTAGAATTTCATTAAAATAAAGAAGCTTTTGGTGCGACTACAATATTTCAGTAATAAAACCATGCCGATTAGACGTATATAGTATCAGGAGTAGATATAGGGACCATTCCTATTATCTACTCCTGATAGTATCAAGAGCATTATAACGAATATACCTTCTTTATATGCTCTTGATAGTATTCTACACACACACACATAATATATATATATATATATATAATATACTATATATATATATATATATATATATATATAATATTAATATATATATATATTATATATATATAATATAATATATATATTATATATATATATATATGTGTGTGTATATGTGTGTGTGTGTGTGTGTGTGTGTGTGTGTGTGTGTGCGTGCGTGCGTGGCGTGCGTGCGTGCGTGCTTTGCGTGCGTGCGTGC